CAGGAATTCCTGTTATCTTTCTTTACACTGATCACTACATTATTATCAAAATGCTGTATTTTGTGGATCACCATGTAAGAAAGCCACTTTAACATGCTCTTGTTTGAGGATGGCAAAAAAAAAAAAGTAATCTACCTTTGGATTCCATATTCTAACTGCCAAACACACAAACAGCATCTGTTCACCTTGATTTCATGGAAAAGCTCTGTAAGGATTGAGGTAGGGGAGGAGTGGACTAGAGCCAGATGGCCATTACATAAACATACAAGGCCACCAAGGGCTGCTCCAAATATCTATTAATTCAGAATGATGGAAAGAACAGATCTTAAGTTTAAACACCGGAGAATATCAACGTTGTCTAAATTTTTGCACTTAACAGTAGGAAATGAACTATTGCATGAGGCTTTATTCTTTTCTGCAGTGAAGATTCTAATCTAATGTATCCATGTCTGAGTTATCAGCTAAGCCAAGCCAAGCCAAGGTGTCAAGCTAACCCATGAAATGTCAGGAAATTTACATCTGAGCCCAGGCTGGGAAACCTGAAATTGCCAGTTTATATTCAGATAGTATTGTATTAAGCAAGGATGCTTAGAAATCAAATTACACTTCAGACAATATCATAATGCAACATGCTTTATAGTATTAAATATAATACAGAAAAGTTGTATGTATCATAATTGCAATATCTCATTCTTATACAATTACAGTATCTCCACCTGCCCTTTAAAAATTGTCTGGATTTCAGATTGGTAACTTCTGATTACAGTAATTAGAAAATCACATTTTGTTTGAAGAAAATGTCCAGCCATCATTCTTATATGAGAGAGGAGAGGGGGAAACAAAGAGAAAAGTGGGAAGGGAGAATAAGTAGGGTGGCTTTACAGGCTGAGAGGCAGAATTGATAGTAATGTTCAGTAAAGGAAGAGTAGGTGTTCCTGTTAATACTATGCAATAAAACCAGCAAGTAATCTTGTGGCTCCTAAAAGACAACTGCTGTAACTTCCTCATCGCATGGTTTCAAAGTCCTGAGGCAGTATAATATTTTACCTGTACACTTGTAGGGAGAGAGAGAAAGAGAAAGAAAATGGGAGGAAGATTTCTTTAAGGAAAGCAGCTGGTGGCAGTATATTTAGTTATCTCTCCCCAAGCATTGTAGGGAGGAGCATCTCTAAAATACATTAAATACTCAACAGTTACAGAAATTACTTGTACAGTTCCTTTTGTATTTAAAGATGGAATATCTTCTTTTGGAACATTACAAGCTTAGCTTACGGTAATTTGTACTGAGATGAATAATAAGTTGCTACTGATCTGTAGGATATTGCAAGTTATTTAATTCATCACTATTACTGTGCCTGTGAATTTGAACTAATGGCTGTATTACAAGAAATGCTTGAACTGGCTCTTCTGAAGGTCCAATGCGTCATAAAAACCAGGAAATCCAGCCATGCCCAATTAAGCCCAAAGTATTCTGAAGTAACTGTAGGTTATTTATCTTCAGCTAGGAAAAGGATTAACTCCCTCTTGACAAATGAGGAGTTTGAGTCAAAAAGAGGATGAGGGTGGACACGATGGGCTTTTACTTAAAAAAAAAAAAAAATGAAACAATGGCAACAGGAAATTGCCAGATGCTGCCAGATATAATGGAGACTAGGATACCAGCCAGAATGACTGCTCCCTATTTCATTTGGGTGGTTCCTGTATTCATAATTTACTTTTAACAGAAGCAATGATAGGAATAGACTACTATGCCATAGGAAAACATCTTTGGTGTCAGGCTTTCTCTGTTATCAGACCTGAACTCAACAGAGGGTAGTGTCATGGTAGGCTCATATTCGGAGTCAGAGGAGGAGACCAACGAGCAGCCAGTTTCAGAAGTGCCCACAGACAATGAGCCATCAGCTCCAGAGGCACCGGACAGACTGCCTGCCGCCTGAGCAGGCAGAGGAGGTGGGGCTGCCAGCAATCAGCAGACTTAGCTGCTGCCACTCTCCAAAGATAATGGAGGGAAATTACCGCATCCTCCCAATGCAAGTGCTCAGTGGGCTGCTAAGAGAGTAGAGCAAAGGCGCTCTGCGAGATTACTCATGAGGAAGGAGTCTTGCCCCATTAAGTGAGCTACACCAGGGCAGCTTCTATTAAAATGGAGCAGCAAGTTCAATTTCTCTGTTGATGACAACCGTTTGTTAACTCCTTGATTCTGAACCTGTGACCCTCAAGATCTGGACCTAGACCAGGACCAGCTGATGAACCTTCTACCCAGTTTTGACCTTTGGACTTCGCCTGATTACTTCCTCTCTCTGCCTGCTGCTTTGGACTGTACTCATTAAGACAAGCTTGCTAAGCATTCGGACTTGTTGCTTAATATGAGTGTGTGTGTGTTTGCATTCATATTTACTTTGTCAGCCACTTCTAGTAAAGCACTGCAACCACCTCTTCGTGTGCATGTGTGTGTTGGCCTAGAACAGGACAGGTACTCAGACACTTGACTCCATAGGGCTAAATAAGTATCACTGCTGCAGTCTTAGAATGAAGTGACTGAAGTTAGTGGATTGCTTCTGTAAACATAAGATCCAAGTCATCTCTTATATTCACTGCAGTTTAAATCCAGCATTGCTACTTCTTTACTTTGTCAGCCACTTCTAGTAAAGCACTGCAACCGCCTCTTCGTGTGCATGTGTGTGTTGGCCTAGAACAGGACAGGTACTCAGACACTTGACTCCATAGGGCTAAATAAGTATCACTGCTGCAGTCTTAGAATGAAGTGACTGAAGTTAGTGGATTGCTTCTGTAAACATAAGATCCAAGTCATCTCTTATATTCACTGCAGTTTAAATCCAGCATTGCTACTTCCTGTCTTTTCCATGGCTTAACAGGAACTTCAGGTGTATGTAGAGAGGTGGCTGCCTTGGGCCCTGCAGACAAAGGAGATCCTGGGCTGCTTCTTGCCCCACAGCTTTGATCTTTTAAATAGGTTAGGTATTGCAGTGGAGAAAGTGCACAGGAGGAGGGAAGGAGGGAGGAAGGAACAAGGTGGTGTTGCGATATCAACTTACCTTCTACTGTGACTCCTGAGTGAACCATCACTTCAGTTGCTTTGTGGAGAGTGAGGAGGTTCGGGGGAGCTCATGGGGTTCAGGCCTTATGCTCCTGTAAGGAAGAAATGACTGGATGACTCTCCTCTTCCTTTTCTCCTGCCCAAGCTCAATAGTAGCAGCCTGTGGGGGATTGGGGTAGGAGGCTGGTGAGACTGAGTACCACTGTTAGGCCCCCCAGAGAGTTCTCCTTACACTACTGGACACCTTGTTTTGCAACTCTGATGTTCATGTTATTTACATAATCAGCTTTCTTGGGCTGGGAAAGTCTAGCCCAATATATCTCCCATGCCATCCTTCTCTTCTACCCCTTCCCTTTCTATGTCTCTGAAAGGATCAGGAATTCCTCCTACTCCTCCTTCCTAGTTCAGAGTGACAGGAAGGAGAGGCATTTCTTCCTCTCTCCATCTCCATGTCTGAAAGCTCATCTTCCTTGAGATTCAGGGTAGCAGAAATGCATGATACTCTATCTTCATTGTAGAAGGCCCTTTCTAGTTGGAGCCAATGAGATATATGCAATTTCAGAAGCCTTCCTTTCTTCAAGTGTCCTCTGAGAAACAATGGGGGAGTCTGTCCCTGTACCTCCCCTTCATAGTCACCCAGCCCCAGCTTCCTCCCTTCCTCTCTCCACTAAGCTCCCCACCTCCCCAAAATCAGCATTGCTGGCAACAGCAGAACTTTCTTAGTTGATTAGGTAATTTGGGTTTATGAGGTGCTACAGATAGAAATGGTGAAGGAAAGGCATTGCTTGCATGTTGGCCATGGCCTCCCAGTAATATTTAGTGTCAGAGTCTGCACATTCATTCCCAAAGTTCAGTAAATCCTCTGGAAACCAAACAGTTCCATCAAAGATTTCTTTATTGGGAGAAATGCACAGCAGCTATAGTTTGTTGAGTCTAATTCCACAAAGCAAAACCCTTCCTTTTTAAGCCCAAACTTAAACTCCCCCCCCCCTTTTTTTTTTTTTTT